ATATATATATAATTATGCATACATTCATACATATATACATAGGCCTTATATATTATGTACATATTCTTACCAATTTTTTTTGCAAGTTCACTTATCCTCTTCCTACATTCTTTACAATGCAAAGAAAAAAAAATATAGAAAAATTCATTATGTACGTGATTATAACACTAACACAATTACAAGATATAAGAATGTGGATACAAATGTAAATATAAATTCACTGATGATGAGATATAGTAATGTAAAAATATTAATAATTTGGAATGATGATAATGATAATGTTAGGATGATATAGCAGATTATGTGATAAATATACACTTACTTAAAGACAATGTGAAACAAACTATGTAGAAAGTGGTACAAGTCACCTTCATATTCATATTCCCTTTCCACACATACAATACTTTATTATTTTAATGTATTTAGTCACAGAAAAGTATTGGAAGCTTACCTTTTATCTCTAATTTCATCGATTCTATATGTCTAGGCAATCTAAAGACGGTATACCGGATAAAATTGTAATGAAAAAAAATTGTTTTCAACTCAGAATTCAATGAGGAATAACAACAAAAATCTAGAAAAATCTAATTAGAGGAAGGGGTAAAATTTGACAAAAAATGACAAGTTTTACACAATTTTACCCCAAAAAATGATATTTTTAAGCTAGTCCGTCACAGGAAGATTCAATTTCAATATATTTGGTGTCATACGAAAGCTATTGAAAATATCTATCGAATGATGTATATGATGACACATTATATTAATTTTGTGACCCAAATATTACCAAAAAACTATTTTTTAAATTACTTTTTTCATCTAAATTTAATAATGTATGTTATATTCAATAAATACGAAAAAATACTAAGCTAACAACCTTTTCGTCTGATACTTTCAAAAACTAAATTTCAGATTTTATTTCATTCATTCATTTCATTTCATTTAGTTTTTTTGTCCAATTGTAAAAAGGAAAAGCAGAGTGGAAACAATTCATTGCATATTTAAAATTATAAATAATTGTACACACAGTAATAATGAAAAATAAAATATGGCATTCAAATACATTAAAATGTGAAAGAAGAATTTAGATTTAAAATTTATATTTACATATAATGATCTTCCAGATGTTTAACTCTGGAAGAAGATAATAAAACCATTGAAAAGCAATTTTCCAAGTTTAAAAACCTAAGAGAACTAATGTTCATTTAACCCTATTCCTGTAAACGGACTCACTGTAGAGCCTGATAGAGGAGGGAACAACTGAATTTTTGTATCTGCTTGTTTTTGTACATATACTGTAGACAATCTTCTACCAGAGGATAACCTGTTATAGTAGTGGTATAGTGTATGATCTTTATTCTTCATAATTTGTTCTACTTTGCCTCTAATACGTTTCATGAATATCATGTCGAAATCTAAATCTAACTGCATGATTTTGCCAGCATGTCTAACAACTCGTCTTAGCCTATCTATATCAGACACTCTACCATTACCAAACCAAACAAGGCATCCAAAAACAAGAACACTTAGTGCCAAATTTTACTAAAATATGACAAATTTTACACATTTTTACCCTAAAATGATATTTTGAAGCTAGTCTTTCACTGAAAGACTTAATTTAAATATATTTGGTGACATACAAAAGCTATTAAAATTATTTTTTAATTTTTTTTACTTTTTTTCACTAAAATCAACAATACATATTTTCTTAAATAAACACAAAATATAATAAGCTAATAACCTAGCTTTCTTAAATAAATAAAAAAAATCAGGTGCAGCTTATTGATTAAAATTACATAAGGGCCAAAATTGATAAATTGGTGCTGTGCAATCTGATTTTAAATATTTTGGCTAATGAAAAATTCTTGACTCTTCAAAACATAAAACCAGAATGAAATCTTGACACGGATAATAGATAAAAAAAAAGGATAATAGATAGAAAAACAAAGTTTCCGCTGATTTAAAGAAATATTACTACAAAATACTACTACAAAAATCCATTACTGTATGTACAGTACATCTTCAACATTATTTTCTGACATAATGTGATCTCAACATTTACAACGTTCGCAAATAATTGTTATAATACTAAATAAAAATCCACTAATGTAATTGCTTTCTTAACTAATTTTTTTCCTTTCTCAATTTCCCAAAATTGTCTCTATACAATTTTTAATTGCAAGCTAATTAGGCAAATCAATGGAGTTAAAGTTCAAGACAAACAGTATGTTTCGTAGAAACATATTCAACATGTATGCACAGATGTACGTGTAAGAAAAGTTAAATTCAATCACATCGTAAGAATGGTAAGCAGTTCAAGAAGCAAGCAAAAGTAATGACTGATTGCTAGAAGCAATCTGAAACTCAGTGATGGTCCGATTTTTCCATCAGATCAGACCCCTCGTTGCTGGATTTTTGGATTGATGAATAGACATAGTTTTATTATTTTACAGTATATTAATTGGCACTTAAGTTTGGAATGTTTCTAAAAATTCATTACCAAAATATGAATTGTAACTCAATTAGACTGCACTACGATTGACTTATAGCGTAAAATTTTCTTTACAGTCTGTTTTTTAGAAAAACAGTACGTTTATAATTATAGCACAGATGCAACATGTTTCATAGACGTGCAAACGAAGAAGAGTTAAATTTAATCACTAAATTAAAAAAAAAAAAAATGCACATTGTAAAGAAGGTTAATAATTTAAGCAAGCAAAAGTAATAATTGATATAGATTGCAGTTCAAACAATTCATCTTCTTGTACTTACCTTTCTTGTGGATTCACGTCTGAAATGATTGGTGATCCTAATATAAATTTAAAAAAAGACATGAAATAACTTTGTTTTGCTTTTTCCTTATGCTACTTTTTAATTAAATGTATTTGCCATAATAGAACTGAAGTTGGGATGATGCTTATTCAAAGTGAGCATTTATTCGAATAAATTCAAATTCACATCCACCCAATAAAATTCCTGTGTATTGGCCAGTACATTTTGCATTACCTTCTATTTTATTTTCTTCTATTATGCTAATAATTGGTCGCATCGGCTTATAAAAGTAACTGGTAAAGACTTTACCCATACCACTGCTTTCACTACTGCTTTTGTAAAATGATAATTTACTGTCATGAGTGCTGGTCTCATTTCCAAGTATTGGTCCACTCCAAAAATAGAAAATACTTCCAAATAAAATATGAAAAAAAAACCTTTAAAATTTAGTTTTTGCTAACAAATATATTGGAGATTCTGATTTAGTATTACTTTTTTTTTTTTTTTTTACTTAAAAAAAAAAAAAAATATAATAAATAAATAAATAGTGACAAAGATCCAGTCACGGTATAAGCTTTTCTCAGCTTTTTGTTGTGTGGGAAATTATAACCTCTCTGATGAAATAGTGATAGTACTATGATGATGGTGGTGGTGGTGAAGAAGGCAGTAGTGATTTATGATTATGATGATGATGATGATCATCATCATCATGGTAAAGTTTAGTGTATATAATGATAATGTAGTGATAATGATACCACTGTTGATTCTATAAGGTCGGTCAATGAAAATAAAATGATTAATACAATAATTCTGACCATCATAAATATGTTGGTAATAAAAACCATACCTGATTTTTCAAAGGCATTCGAAATAATTTAGTTTTGCTTCTAACGGCCAACTTTATTTAAGATATTTTCATGATAGGAGGCACAAAATATTGTTCTTTGGTGTGATAAAAACATTAATCCAGAAAAATCAAACACACTTTTATTAAAAAATAAAAACACATTTTCTAAGAACACTGAGGCTAAGAACAAAATAAGAACAAATTGAGGCTGAGGTAAACCTGTCATTTGGGGCCATATTTTCTGACGCCACTTTTACCTACATACCACCAGTACAGTGTAAACTGCTGTACAATAATAACTTTATATATTTGATGATTGTGTGAAATAAGAACAAAAGAAGAACACTTTGAGCCTGAAATCGACCAAAAAATAAGAATACTGAGCCTTGGCAAAATTTTACTGGTTGTTATTAAAAAAAGAAAAAAGAAGTGTAGGTAACATGAGTAACACTGACCATCTGTATAATCCACTGCAACAAACTTGGCATTGTTTCTCTGACCTAGAAATGTACTACCTTTATTCGCTTCTCTATAATGGCCGTAATTTGAATTTGCAAACAAAAGCAACTTACATTAATTTTTTCAATTAAATTTGTAATTAAAACATATACTATTAAAATTTAATAGAAAAATATTTACCTACATCAAACTAAAAGTCAAGCTCAAATACTGTGGGACAAATATTGATAACTTTGCTTTGTCTATTCTTAATAATGTTTACAATCAATGGAACTCATAATATAATATAAATAATAGTTCATTTTGTCTAAAAATTTGTAACAATATGATATTGAGTCATTCCATATGAATCCAACACACTGTTTTGCCCGACCCCCTTCAAATCGCCCAATATTTTGCATGTTGGGGTTCTACCTGAGATAACCCCACAGTGAAATGTTTGGCTCCGCGCCAGCATTTTCTGATGAGTTAGAGCAATTCAAAATTTTCATGAGATTTGGCTAAAAAACTCACTTTCTGACAGACAACTGCTGATATCTCTCTTGAAACTCAACATATTGGAGATGGATAGAGAAGAAGATTCTCTTTCCAATGATATGCAACTCGATGATGTCAGGACTAGTAAGCATTATATAGATCAAGTCGCGTGACCTTGACCTTTGACCAATGATGTTCATAAATTTAAAATCTTTAGATTGGGCGATAGTCAAGATTGCGGCAGGAAGGGCTTTTGTTACTCAATATGTTGTTATGGGAGTATGTGGAGGACGACGATCAATAATATACAAATTATATTTATTAAATGTTTTTAGGAAAGGTGGACTTTTTACAGCATTTATTTTAAGTGAACAAAAAAAAAATGAATTATTCATACAGTACCACCCAAAATCAAACCAAAACACACAAACATGTATTGTTGAGTACTAACTTATTGTACAGTTATGCTACAAAATGTAACACATACTGTACCTTGATTTGACAGCCTTATGAACTTGATTGTTTTATCTTCATGGGCATCTTCACTGTCTGTTAGAAAATTGTAGAAATAATATAGGCCTATTAATATAGCCCCTGATTTCTGGTAATACATAATAAAATCATGCAAATATCATGAATTTGCAGGAGCTGGGTTACTTTTTGGAAGATTGTTTCCTTGTTCGCAGGAGAGCGAGACGTCGTCCTGAATTCTGCAGTGACTCTCGCAACTCGAAGGAAACTTTAGACCCATGAAAGTATGTGAAGCTGTAGTTTGGTGATAGTTTGGTTCCTAATTCCAGGGTCATGGGTCAATATACCAGGATATTTTCTTATGGTAAATACAAATCAATTCTCCACTTAAACCTTCACAGAGAAACCTAGCTGATGTAAAGCATCACGTGTTAAAACTGAAATGCAAGTGCCTAAATAAATAGATAAAGTGAATATAAAATAAAATATTTATTTTAAAAGCAAAATATGTCAAGAATATTAATTATAAATGTAGGTAACATGAGTAACACTGACCATCTGTATAATCCACTGCAACAAACTTGGCATTGTTTCTCTGACCTGGAAATGTACTACCTTTATTCCCTTCTCTATAATGTCCGTAATTTGAATCTGCAAACAAAAGCAACTTACATTAACTTTTTTCAATTAAATTTGTAATTAAAACATATACTATTAAAATTTAATAGAAAAATATTTACCTACATCAAACTAAAAGTCAAGCTCAAATACTGTGGGACAAATATTGATAACTTTGCTTTGTCTATTCTTAATAATGTTTACAATCAATGGAACTCATAATATAATATAAATAATAGTTCATTTTGTCTAAAAATTTGTAACAATATGATATTGAGTCATTCCATATGAATCCAACACACTGTTTTGCCCGACCCCCTTCAAATCGCCCAATATTTTGCATGTTGTTCCTCATAATTTCTTTTGTTCTTTTATGTTTGATTTTTCCTTTCATTGTTTCATGTTCTAGTTCATCTTCACAGGCATCTTCACTATCTGTTAGACAATTGTAGAAATATAGATCTACTACTAATCTAATTGCTAGGATAACAATTGTACTGAATTTTTTGTATTTTTTTATGTATACAGTATGAATTCTATGAGATAATTTTCATAAATGTCTAAATTATAATACTAATATTACAAGAATTTAAACAAAAAGTGTTTTTCTGACTCTCACCATTTAAGATTCTTCCATCCATGCTTCCACTTTCAAATTCCCTCGCTGAATACAGGATGGCCGCATCGTCAACTGCTTTAAAAAAAAATTCCAAAAAAATTTCATTCGGATCAGAAGAACCGTTTCTGTATCTAGTCTGGGACGTTTCCCTTTAAATGGTGATCATATACACACCCTACTTTGGATCGCCACAAAAATTTAATTATTTCTTTACTAGATCTTGAATAACTATTACAGAAAGTTTCATCAAGACCCATTTTAAAAAGATGTTTATGTCTGGAACCTCAGAAATTTAAATGACCCTCGAAATTTACACCCTAAAGTGGATCTGTCTCTTATACACATCTAGATGTGTATAAGAGACAGGCATTATATAGATCAAGTCGCGTGACCTTGACCTTTGACCAATGATGTTCATAAATTTAAAATCTTTAGATTGGGCGATAGTCAAGATTGCGGCAGGAAGGGCTTTTGTTACTCAATATGTTGTTATGGGAGTATGTGGAGGACGACGATCAATAATACAAATACAAATACAAATTATATTTATTAAACGTTTTTAGGAAAGGTGGACTTTTTACAGCATTTATTTTAAATGAACAAAAAAAAATGAATTATTCATACAGTACCACCCAAAATCAAACCAAAACACACAAACATGTATTGTTGAGTACTAACTTATTGTACAGTTATGCTACAAAATGTAACACATACTGTACCTTGATTTGACAGCCTTATGAACTTGATTGGTTTATCTTCATGGGCATCTTCACTGTCTGTTAGAAAATTGTAGAAATAATATAGGCCTATTAATATCTGTCTCTTATACACATCTAGATGTGTTTAAGAGACAGTTTTAGGAAAGGTGGACTTTTTACAGCATTTATTTTAAATGAACAAAAAAAAAATGAATTATTCATACAGTACCACCCAAAATCAAACCAAAGGGTATGACAGAGCAGGGCAGGACATTGCGCCCTAGCTAGGAATATTTTTAAGTTTCTAGGGTCTATGATACCTGTAGAACAAAATAACATTATCTGTATGTTCAGTAAAATTTTAAGAAGACATATAAACAATTCCAGATTCTTACTTTTTAAATAAAATCTCCATAGGTAATTATTTTCAGTTTTTGAGTGGAATAGATAAAATATAATTGTCATGCAACAACTATGAAGAAGTTCACAGCATGAACAAAAGCTTGTGTATATTTTCAATGAAGTTGTTAGTCTGTAAAGTGTTTAAAAATGTCACAGATCCCAAATTAAGTTTACCTTCTAGAGCTTCGAGAGCTGAAAAGAGTTGGAGTTTCGTCAACCTTTCAATGAATACTTTCATATTTTCTTCACTGATTACTCTTCTGTGCTCTAGATCCCTTATCAAATGCCAGCTGTCTTCATATTTCTTTAGTGGTGTGTTAAACTGACTATCCAGTGTTGCTACATCCACTTCATTCAATGTCATTCCTAGTTTTACAAGGTTTTGCCTGTGCGATGTGAATTTTGATACTGTTAAATTCCTAACATTCTGGAAAAATGGAAGCAGACCCTCATTCATTGGTTTGAATTCAAATTGTTTAGTTATATTTATGGTGTCATACAGAATACTAAGATCTGTTGGACTCAGATTCCCAGAAGTATGCAAGTTGTCCAGCAAGTCACGCATCTTATTAGCTTCATCTAGTACGGTATGAACATCAGTCACAAAATCTCTGTACAATACTTTCAGCATACTGATGGAGTCAATTCTATCATACCATTCTGATATATCATGCAATAACCCATAGTAATCATCCTCGGAGATTGCTGGAAATAATGTAATAATAATGAACATATCAATTTCAACCGTGATGAAACCAATAATTATATGACAATATGCAGAAATTTTATTACACTCACAATTATCACAAACAAATGATGTTCAAAAATTTTAAAATCTTTTAATTGGGCGATAGTCAAGATTGCGGCAGGAAGGGCTTTTGTTACTCAATATGTTGTTATGGGAGTATGTGGAGGACGACGATCAATAATACAAATACAAATACAAATTATATTTATTAAACGTTTTTAGGAAAGGTGGACTTTTTACAGCATTTATTTTAAATGAACAAAAAAAAAATGAATTATTCATACAGTACCACCCAAAATCAAACCAAAACACACAAACATGTATTGTTGAGTACTAACTTATTGTACAGTTATGCTACAAAATGTAACACATACTGTACCTTGATTTGACTGCCTTATTGACTTGACTGGTTCATCTTCATGGGCATCTTCACTGTCTGTTAGAAAATTGTAGAAATATTATAGGCCTATTAATATAGCCCCTGAATTCTGGTAATACATAGTAAAATCATGCAAATATCATGAATTTGCAGGAGCTGGGTTACTTTTTGGAAGATTGTTTCCTTGTTCGCAGGAGAGGAGAGTTCTGCAGTGACTCTCGCAACTCGAAGGAAACTTTAGACCTATGAAAGTATGTGAAGCTGTAGTTTGGTGATAAAACTAACATTTTTAAGACAGGTGGAATTTTTACAGCATTTATTTTAAATGCAAAAATAAATGTATTTTTCACACAGTACCACCCAGAATCAAATCCACAAACATGCAAACATACATGTTGAGTACTAACTTATTGTAAAATTATGCTACAAAATATAACATACCTTGATTTGATCGCTCAACTGACATTTTCCTCATAATTTCTTTTGTTCTTTTATGTTTGATTTTTCCTTTCATTGTTTCATGTTCTAGTTCATCTTTACAGGCATCTTCACTATCTGTTAGACAATTGTAGAAATATAGATCTACTACTAATCTAATTGCTAGGATAACAATTGTACTGATTTTTTTGTATTTTTTTATGCATACAGTATGAATTCTATGAGATAATTTTCATAAATGTCTAAATTATAATACTAATTACAAGAATTTAAACAAAAAGTGTTTTTCTGACTCTCACCATTTAAGATTCTTCCATCCATGCTTCCACTTTCAAATTCCCTCGCTGCATACAGGCTGGCCGCATCGTCAACTGCTTTAAAAAAAAATTCCCAAAAAAATTCATTTGGATCAGAAGAACCGTTTCTGTATCTAGTCTGGGATGTTTTCCTTTGAATGGTGATCATATACACACCCTACTTTGGATCGCCACAAAAATTTAATCATTTCTTTTCTAGATCTTGACAAACTATTACAAAAAGTTTCATCGAGACCCATTTTAAAAATATATTTAGGTCTGGAACCTCAGAAATTTAAATGCCCCTCGAAATTTACACCCTAAAGTGGATCGTCCCAATGCATAATCATTTCTTCCTTTTTAATTTGGATTTCATTCAAATCAGTTGATCCGTTTTCAAAATATCTGGTCTAGGACTTCTTTCTTTGAATGATACTTAGAACCACACATTACTTCGGATTGTCACAAAAATGAAATCATTTCTTCACTAGACCTTGATAAACTGTTATACAAAGTTCCAATTATACCAATTGATTTTTTTAAAGAGATATTTAAGTCTGGGACCTTAAAAATTAAAATGACCCTCAAATTTATACCCTTAACTGGATCGTCTCGAACACAAAAATTTCTTTCTTGTAACTAGGTTAAACTTTCCATAAAGTTTAATTCAGGTCAGTTTGTCTGTTTTTGACATACCTAGTGTAGACTTTTTGCCCTTAAATCACTTCAATAGGACCTCACATGCACACCCCACCCTAGATTGACACTAAATATTAGGAGGCACATCTTAGATATATATGCAAAGCATGGAAAAGTTCCAAGCATGGGAAGTGACCGAAATGTGGACTAGAAAAACGCAGGGCAAAAAGATAAGAAAAAGGTAAGCAAGAAAAAAGTAAAAAAAAAAAAAAAATCAAAATAAAAAAACAATGGCTTTTCCTGCTACTGTTGGGTAAAGCCTATAACAATAATAAAAGAAGAGCACTCAGTAGAAAGTATCTCCGCCCACTGCAAACCCTTTCTATCACATAATTCTTCTAAAATATATCCCTAATTTCCAACGACCACTCTATCCACTTCCCTCTGCTACAAAAAAACACCACCATCCGAACTAAACCCCACACTAAAATGTATTATTTATTTATTATTTAATTTATTTCATTTAGTCTTGTAAAGTCGGCGTAATCTGAAAAATCGTGGAAAATTAATAGTAAGCCTTTAATGGGAAGTAATGGGAAGTTTCAATAAATTAATAGCTAAAAAAAAAAAAAAAAAAAAAAAAAAAAAAAAAAAAAAAAAAAAAAAAAAAAAAGAATCAAGTAAGTGCTTGGCAATCATGTATAAATGTCCCTGGATTATTTTCTATCACCGAATTTTGCTCAATTGTAAAAATACAACAACAACAACAACTGATAATGTAAAAACAATGCATAATGTAAAAAGGTAAACGCATAATGTAAAAAGGGTTTAATGTAAAAAAATAATGCATAATGTAAAAATCAATGCATAATGTACAAAATTTTGCTAACACATAATGTAAAAACCTTTGACGCATAATGTAAAAACATTTTCTAAGCATAATGTAAAAACCTATTAATGCATAATGTAAAAACGTCTTCTCCCTTTCTCAGACCCATTTAACTTTAAGCTACTATTGCCATCAATGGACCGGGTACCTGCCTGCCTGTCGGTTGTAGTAAGTGTGACTTAACGGTTCACCTGTATCTCAGTTTCCTGGACAAATTGGAAACTACTACTAAATGTAACTCCACGCCCATTGATGTTGCTAAAATTCATAATTATAGGGAAAAGCATGATGAAAACAATAGAAACACGCAAGTCATAATGATTGATGTATTAAACCAAGAAAGCAACATGTACACCTACTTTAAACTAAGGATAAACGCAGGTTTCAATATTACGAAAGATTGTTTGTAACGTGGAAAAAACAAATGAGAATATTAGACATTTGGATAGATGATGTGGTTCATACTTATTTCTCTTCAAAATTCCACAAAATTACCCCCCAAACAATATTCTGTGTATTAATTACATAAAACCACAATATTGGTTAATTAGGAAATTTGAATAAATTTGGTTAATCATAGTGACTTTTGGCTTTGACTTTTGGAGAAATTTCATAGGGAATTATTGAATTTTATTTTGGCTTGAAACACAAAGTCCTGGTATTCCCCACAAAAGCCCTGGTATTCCGCAAAAAACATAGTTTGTTTTTATTCGAAACTTACGATTTTGTACCATGTATCCTTGTGAATTACTATACTTGTTCTTTAGGAACGAAAAAACAAAAAAAACAAACAAACAAAATAAAAACAGGATGTAAACTTTTTCCAAATCCTTATGCTGGGAGTGTGTGAAAACGTGTGGCCTTTAGACAAGGTTTAAAATAGAAACCTGTTTTCTTTTTAAGGATAAAAAGACCCAAGTTATTTTCTTTTTGGGGAAAGAACCAAAGTATTTGGATAGAAAAGTGAGGTTTTTGTGCAATAAGCTTAACAAATCATAGTTTTTTCGTTTCCATTATGCATCAAGATCGCGTTTTTATTATTTTTTTACATCAAGCGTCAAATTTTTTTTACGTTATGCATTGACCATTTTTTAACTAATTTTTTTAAATATTATACATACTTTTTACATTAACAGTTGTAACAACTCTACATAAGGTTTGAATTTTTGCCAAATGAGATGCACCGAAGAATCAAATGTCTATGCTTTTATGTCTTTGGGACATGGTTCCAGTCATTATTAGTATTACAGCAGACCATAAGAAATTCTCATAAGAGTTTATTCACGATATTTATTTAATCGTAATGTTAATCTTCATGAAAACTGTTATACCACAAGGTTGAACATCTAATGTTAAGGAAACAGTGATGATAATCGTATGTATGTTTAACCCTATTGTCTATATTGAAGCCAAAAAATATCGTGCTGTTGCGAATCCAATCCTACCGCAGAGAAAATACCTAGTTAATGTCTGGTTTCCTTAAAAATTGCTACAATGTCACAGCAATTTTTTCAGTGCAATCGTGGTCCTGCGTGACAGTCCCCGGCACAATCAGGAAGAATAATCAGCATCACCAAAAGCTCTCAGCAACAGAGTGTAAGAATAGTAAGGAAACCAATCTGAGCTGCTGAACACAACCAGCAAATTTAAGTTGCAAAAATATTATTAACTTAATTAAACAAGCATTGTTTTTAATTTGAAGAGAAGTGATAGTTAACTCTCGCCAACGTTATGTCTCGCTAATGTATGTTGGCCTACTTGTTTACATGATGGTAAAAGTAAAATTACCAATATTGTAACTATGATCATTTAAAGAGAAAAAAATCTATAAACTGGTCATAATTATTATATTTAGCGTTTGGGTTGATAAAAACCAGCATTGGTATCTCCGTATAGTTTATCTCCATTTCCTCTCAATAGAGTAGAAAAATCAGTGAAATCACTGCCCTTCCAAAGGGCTCCACAATACAATAAAATCTACAGAAGAAACTAAATTACAGTAGATTATTACCTTTTGAATTTGGAGTATAGGACAATCTGGTACGCTTTTCTTTTGTCGAATTAATTCAGCTATGGTGATGTACTATCAATTGAATTGTTTTAAAATAAATCATTAAGCCTCATGTATGTGTTTGCTTTTGGTAGGTCTATACTGATTATTTTATAAGCAGTTTTAATTATTTAGTCAAATATTGGCAGATAGATGAAAGATCGAAAATTATAGCTAATAGAGAGCACTAAACACTTCTAGGGGTTTATCTTTTTAATGGTGTATGAGGGAGACAGGTGAGCGTTGTTTGAATGAGGATCATTTTACAGTTGTCCTAGAATGTTTTTTTTTTTTTTTTTTTTCATTTAGATAACAAGAAAAAATATGAAATAATTTTAGGATGACAAGGTAGTGATGATGACGATGACAATAATGAAGATGGAATGAATGAGTGATGGAGACATTATCATAGCTGCTGGCTTGAAATTCCATAGCTACATCAACCCACATTGGTTGGGGCGAGGTGCGGATTTGGTTAATATAGAGCACCCCAAGATGTCTGGAAAAGGCACCTTCAAACACAGAAATTGTCTTAATTTGAAAATTAGGAAACCTGTTATTTAGCCACCATTTGCTAATATTATGTCGACAACAAATGAACAGCAATAATGAAAAATATCGTTTGAGCAATCTAAATTCAAGCAAACATTTACACATGAAACTGCAATTTTTATTGTGAATTACTGGAAAAAGTATGAAATTTCACAAAAAAAAAAAGCTTGAGGTAGGACAGCGGCGGAAAAAGGAATTTAAATAAAGGGGGCCCGGAGAGCAACTTTCACAGATGGAGGATCTACACTACCTCTTCCATGGTTGGGGCTTAAGTAAGAAAATTGTTGATTATGGCACCTCTAGATGGTCAGAAATGGCGCTCTTACAGTATGCTGCCTACCCTTCCTTGAATCCGCCACTGGGCATGAAAGCGTAAGTTTCACACCACATAAGTACACTATGACTAATGCAGACTAAAGTTAAGCGAATCCAAGCTGGAATTAATGAGCTCTGAAGTGTTTTGGTCAGTTTACAGGGACCAACGTTTTTAGTAGCAATCATCAATGATAAAGTCTTTACATTAGTCGAAAAAGAAAGGCCAGATTCGCTGACAAGCGATATTTGTTGATAACTTATATTGGCGGTCAGGTTTTCTTGAATGCATAGATGACGATCTGTTTCACTGTGGATTTTCATCCATCACGATGATTATCAGCGTTTGAGTGACAATTTTTACCACTGGGCAAATGGGCCATGGAATGTATAATTGATTATTTTGAAGTTAAATTAACAATTTTAAATGATAAAATTCAGTATTGAATATAAAGATAAATATTAATAATCAATATTTTTCTATGTATTGCTTTATTAGATTTTTTTTCTATAAGGTGGCTCTGGAGATTTGGGGCAAAGTTTCAATGAACTGCCTGAACCTGTGGAGTTACGACACTAGTAGGCAATTTTAACTTATAATGTGCAGTATATAAAGAAATACTATCTATCTAGATTTGTATTTTTTTATGCATTGCTTTATTAGGTTTTTTATAAGGTGGTGATGCCCTTATAGATCGGGGGCCCAGGTTTGACGAACCTGCTGCACCTGGGTAGTAACGCCGCTGCCTGGAGTTTGGTTATAAATTCTGTTGAACCATCCGTCATAGAGTGAAGCCAAATATGCATAATATGCAGTATTAGTAAGATTAATTGAACAACAAGGTTTCCTAAGTAAATCGGCCTACATTTAAAACGTTGGATACTCCAAAAACATAAATTTCATTAATTTCCCCATCAATTTTACCCAAAAAAACATTTCACACTTTTAATTTACAATAATAAAGCTTTCTCCCCAATACTAATTACAGACAAATATCTTGAGATATTGTATAAGCCTGTGATAGCAAATGTTTAGTCCACAAATACGATGGCATAAAACCACTCGATCTAACAGGTTGTCTAAATCACATAGTTTTCTTCATAGCTAAATACTTTTCTATAGTCGAATGTCAATCAAGAAGTAAGCAAGATATCAATGCATTCAGTGCTTACAAAAAACAAAAACTCATGAATTCTAAAACAGTTGATTGGAAGTCAATGTTTCTATTAACTAATTGCACAAAGAAAATTAAATTGTAAATAAGTACCTGGATTCATTTCCATCTCCGATATAGTTTGTCCACTCTCACCTGTTATAGGTTTCTGTGAATCTTTAAAGATAAAGACGGGGCAGGGAATAATTGTTTCAATGGCATGTACAAAAACATAGAAATGCTGATTAAAAATACAACTAATTATACGGTAGTAATACTAATCAGATACTTATGAGAATGTACTTCTGTAAAGCGCTAATAGCCAATCAAATTTCTAAATGAAACATCATGGTACTGTAGTTTTGGTGTAGAGTGATGGCTTAAATTACTTCAGTTAAAGACAGTTTATTCAAACATGTTTATATAAAAAGTAACACATACAGCATAGAATTAGTCTAATGGTACTGTAGTTTTGGTGTAGAGTGATGGCTTAAATTACTTCAGTTAAAGACAGTTTATTCAAACATGTTTATATAAAAAGTTTGTAAGTTTATGAAAAAAGAGTCATACAAACACATACAGCATAGAATTAGTCTAATAACAAAGTGAACTCTTAGGAGAAGAAAGATACAGCATGAGCTACTGATAGTAGCCAACGTTTTACTTGCTGTAATCTTCATGAAAAGTCAATTTATAAATTTGTAATATAGGCCCATGTATGTATGCATGCATGTATGTATAGTAGTCTAATGTGCAGAAAGAAAAATTACATGTTGGGAATTGTTGGGAATTGGTCTCTTACACTTGTGGTTTTTGTTTATCTTGGGTTTTGTTAAAATAAATAAATAATTATTATTACTATTATTATTATTATTATTATTATTATTATTATTAATTATTACTTTTACTACTATTATTATTATTATTAATAATGTTAATGTAATACATTGTACTGATATTATTATTACATGTACTATTATGATTATTATTGCTCAGTAGTAGTTACAGTGCTATTGTTCATTATTGGAGTACATTCAGCTAATTTACATTCAGTTGTTTAGTAGAATACTGTGCGTCTTCACTACATGGTTTTCACTGTGTTGTTTGATGGACACACCTTAGTAATTCTATGCTAGGCTAAGACGTTGCCTCTGTTAGAGGGGAACATAGTTTACCCAGCGTTAGCTTATGATGGGAAATGCGTCATAAAATTGCTACATGTAAGTTATTATTATACAATCTATATATGCTTCTTTGGAAATGTAATTTGATGATTTTGGTTTTATTCGTGGGTTAGATTTGGTTGCTTATAGATCTCGTAGCTCTCGAGGTGGGGATTGGAATTTGACTAGGAAACTGGTTGATACAATTGGTTCTACGGCGACTCGCTCTTTCCGATGCTTACGAAGCTTAGAACCTATAGGAGTGGGAATTACTGCCTATGTTGGAACTCATGTTTTGCTGCACGAGATGCGACATTTATGCTGATAAATATGACTATGGAAATGATGATTGTACGTTTCCAATGTGATGTATGTTTAAATTTAAGGTTGTGTCATAGAGTTGACATTAGATGAGGTTATGCTCAAAGATTTATATTAGTTGAATGTTGAAATGCACATATGACTGTAAACGACTAAACAAGATAGTGCTTGCGATTTCATGTGGCGAATATGTTGGGCCCACTGTAAAATGTATGGGATTAAATGAATTTGTGAAGATTTTGACACAGTTTGAGTTGTAATCTTTCGTAAAGTCTTCTAGTATAATAATGTACACATTATCATGACATTATAAATTGCTATCTTAAATACATAAATTAAATTCCTTACAGTTTGGTTCCAGTTCAACACAAGCCACATCATATTTCTCCATGTCAATATGAATCAACCATTCCTGAAGAAATTCTTCCACAAGATCTTCTGTTAGTAAAATGTCTGCAAGCATTTTCATAATGTCTTTTTGTACATTAACATCTGATAAACACCTTACTGCTCTAGGATAATGTGTAGATAAGTGCAATAGGATACATCCTACTGTAATTCCATTGAACGTAAGTCCCTTCTTTTGGAAATATTCAGTTAATTGTTTATGAAGTTCGTTATGGCGATCTCGAAATTCCTGTACATGCTCATGTAGTACCCTTTTAATTTCCTTATATTTTGCAGAGTGTGGATTCTTGCAGCTAACTTTCAAGTTTACACCTTAAATTTAAAAAAATTAGAATATATTTAAACCACATACATTCATAAGATACATAATTGTTTTATTAAAATATGCTGCAATAGAAAACAGTTATATCAATGTTGTATCTCAACCAACATTAGCCTTTATTTCCCACAGCAATGCGATTATTTAGTATTTTACATTCTATTTTACATATAACACATGATAGCCTGTATACAAAATATGACAGTTCTAACATATAGAAGTGTTTAACCCCGTTATTCAAACCCCGGCCCACAGGCCCACTGTGGTCTGCCAAAGATTTTGATCCGGCTCATGCAGCACTCTAACACTGTTAACAAGAGTCTGGCTCCGAGTGTAGCTCACTGTATCAATTAAGTGGCTTTAGTATGAGACTATGGATTAAGTGGTGGGGGATGGCTGATATTATATTGTACAATACACCCACTTCCATAGCAGAACTAGCATTAAGCTAACTACACTTTAACTTTATCCTAGAATAATACCTGTGGTTATGTGACACAGCAAATTATAATGTTAGGTACCAAACCTTACCTATTTAGACAATTATATCCCAGCTAGTATAGCATTACATCTACAACCTGTTCAACTTGTGTATTCAATATTAATATAGTTGTAATATAAGTAAATTTTATAGTGTTTTCTACTCAATCAGCGATTATCATATTAGAAAAATATTACATGGTGTCAGAAGTCTCAAACTTATTAGAAACTTGATTTAGTATTTGAGAATTTTTTTTGGTTTTAAAGCAAGTAAAATGGAGGCAGTAAACAAAGGCCCAAAAATGGACTGACACATGATACTGGACTCCACCAAAGATTTCGCTTATGGAAGCAAGAAGTTCAATTGATACTAAAAGGACCACAGAAAAAATATGTGGCAACTACGAATATTCAGCTCTGGTCTGGTCAGTCAGGTAGGCATGTTAATTAATGTTCTAAATCCAACAAACGCACACTTAGAATCGGAAAATTATATTTTTAATGTTTTAGGAGTACTGCAAGCCCAGGTCCAACAAATTGGCAGCATATGAATAAAAATATCTAAAACAAGGCAGTTTGAGCCTCAAAGATTTCATCAGTAAAGCACGATTAATAGGCAACAATATAATTTCCATTCTGATACATAAAACAGAACATTAAGAGACGCTATATTATTAGTAATTAAACAGTGAGGTATCGTCCAAATATGCACTGAACAAGGGTCAACAATATGCAAGAGGCAAATCTGAATGATGCGGTCAGGTGTCGACAATAATGGTACCAATACATTCGACCTTTGTGGTTGTCAAAATGCGAGCAGCCTAGTAATTGTGAGGTTGACTGCAAGATGCAATGTTGTACCACTTAAATTGAACTCAAGCATAAAAAGCTTGAACAAACGTTCAAAGAAATGGATACGGTTACACACCAGTAAAGATACTGCACAATGATGTTGCATGAAGGCAACAAAAAGTCGTTGAAATCTACTTTTCAAGTAAATGACACAAAAGGACATATTATCCTTGGAAGAGAAACAGAACACGCTCTTGGATAAGTGACTTTCCAAAAGACCAACTCATTTATAAGTGGAACCAGAGCTCTGGCAATAAGCACTAAGTAGTCAATCGTTTAATGATAAGCAACCCATCAAACCACAAATCAAAACCATCAACAATGCCACCATTGAACTTAATGGTAAACAACATCAACTGCCAGTTGCCAAACAATACATCCTAAATGAATACAGTGATGTATTAATTAAAGGAATAGGTACATTGCCAGGGAAGCCTTATCATATCAACTTAAAACCAGACTACACACCAGTCCAGCATGCACCAAGGTCAGTACCAGTAAGCTTAAAAGCAGCATACGAAAAAGAGTTTGTGACAAGGGTGTGATTAAACCGGTGCATGAACAAACTGAATGGATCAACTCTATAGTTACCAGTTGTGAAGTCTAATGGAAACCTTAGCCTTTGGCTGGATCTAAAGGATTTAAATAAAGCAATCCAATGTAACACCATAGAAGATATCATGCCAGAACTATCAAATTCCACATACTTTACCCTATTAGATGCAAAATCTGGCTATTGGATGGTAGAACTTGATAAAGGGTGATAAAAACAGTGAGCGCATTTGCTAAATTCTTTTGCATGATCTATTGGCTTGTAAAATTTAAGGATTTTTTGTAGAAACTGTGTGTAAATCAGTGAAAACTATTTTTCACTTCCATCTGTTTTTGATCGTTTTAAATGAGCTATTTAATTTTTTAATAGGGTAGACAGCCTTTAATAAGAAGTATGTACGGAAGGGTCTGAGCAAAGGGGCTGATGAAGTCTCGGTCAGCGGCCTGGAATAAAAACTCCCTTAGGTTTACGGAGAGTGTTTAGTGTGGCCCAAAATGTACTTTTAGACCACAATTAATATTAGGGATTGGGAGTCAAAACAACCTTATTTGGATAGGCAACAGTGTCTAGTGTAGTGTACTCAAAGTTGTATATCGCCCTCTATTATTGTAAGAGCAGAACTAGTATCTTTGGTTGTGATGGTTGTTGAATATGGAGGATAATAAAGACAACCGGTTTGGATTACTTAGATGTGGCTTTGTTGTTCATTTGTCTCAGTGAGTGAATGAGAGACATAACATTGGCGACGAGGATAAACCTGGATATATATAGATAAACGCCGGTGTATAGAACAGAAGAAATATGGCTGTTTCTACGACGTTTAGTGAAGATTTGCCAAGGTTAGATTTAGATGCGGAGCCCACCACTCTGCCTACGCAGTGGCGTGAGTTTAAAACGGCGATAGGCTATTTGATAGCTGCCAAGGGC